CTATGACGTGTTTTGTGTGAACTGTCTCTCAATAAAAAGGCAGCAGGAGGAGGTCAGAGTCGGGGTCATTCTCGTGGTGGACACAAACGAGGCCTCCCTTGCGCAAATAATCGAACAACAAGACTGTCTTGTTTTCTTCATGATGAATAAGTCTCTAGAATTAGCGGGGCTTGTGGAAACACAGACCCAACAATTACTTAAAAGTTAAACAAAAAATAAATAAATAAAAAACAATAACAAAGATGAATAAAGTGGACCAATAATGATCTACTTGGAAAAAATACAGTATATCCATTGGGCATTTTTCTTGGCCTTCAGGCATTAATTGCGATTGCTACAGTGCCGAACAGGACAGGCAAAAAAAAAAAAAAAAAGAAGAAGAAGAAAGAAAAGAAAACCCACAAGTAGAGCTGACAGGGGCAGATGGCGAGCCACACACACCGGCACAATTGTCCCGCCAAGCACAGCAGCAAAGCTCAAACAGAACGACCGAAAAAGAAATGTATCAAGGTGCTGCCTGACTGAGACTGTGGTGGGACATTTAGAGAGCTGTGCATAAATGAATGCTGCAAAACTAAATGAACTGAAGTAATACTGTAAACAAGTGTGGACCAAACTTTCTCCTCAGTGATGTGAGAGAATAAGAAAGTCACACAGCAAATCATCACTCAAACTTATTGGTCCTGAATGACTGGACTCAGTTTCTCACACTTCTTTTTTTTTACCAAATTATTACAACTTCGCGTGTGTAATATTACAATCATAAGTAGTAGTAGTAGTAGTATCAGTACCATGGATGATCTCGAGCTGCTGCACGTGGTTCAGGTTGTCGAGCGCTGACATGAGAGGGTCGTCTTCCTGTCGTCTCTGCTCACTGTTCTTTCCTTTGTTTTCGTAGGCGAGGACTGTGTCTGACTCGTCCAACAGGAAGGACAGACCAGCTTCAAGCAGGCGCAGCTAAGCACACAGGTCGGTCCGCCAGGCGAGTAAATAAATTAATTAATAAATAAATAAATAAATAAATAAATCTCTTCAGTAAAATCTCATTATATATCAATCAGAGCATGCTCAGACATACTAAACACAGACACAGTACCTGGCACATTCTGCAGGAGCAGAGTTTGGAACGCCACGGTGAAGGCCAGAACACAGCTCCTGATTGGACTCTTTTCTGACCAATTACCTGCAGCTCCTTCAGTCTGCACCTCGGCTCCACTTCCTCACGGCTCCGCTTGCAGCTAGGCTCAATGGCATCATCAACCTGCCAGATTTTGGATTATTGATTAATCAACCCTGATCAGTGAGTGTGATGCAAACTGCTGTGACCCCCTCACCTCTTCTTCTTTGATGGGAACGGTGGGCTCTTTTGCCGTTTCCTCCTTCACCTCCGCTGCTCCACCCGGTACTAAAACAGGAAGTGCATCACACACACAAACATAGACACACAGGAAGTGCACAACATGTGTATGACAGTATGTTTGTGCCAGGTTAGTACTGTAAGATAACAGGACGCTTTACCTGCTAGGTGCGAAGCGTAGGTCCAGAGAAACGAGTGTGTTTTCATACAGGACTCGCAGATCATCTCCTGAAGCTCCACGCAGTCTGGAACCACACAGCCCAGGTGCTGCAACAATATACAGGTACAAGAGTCAGGAGATCTTGATGCATTCTCAATCATCCAGGAAAGTAAATCTCCAAAAGTAAATTCTGTTCATCTGGACGTAGCGTTTTGTGGGAGAAACGTTTTGTCACTCATCCAAGTGACTTCTTCAGTCTCAGTTGACTGCAGTTTTCCCCAATCTTATAAACAATATGTAACCCAGTTCCTAAAATCATCTCAAACAAAAAGAGAAGAAAAATTAAAACATTTAATGTTCATTGTTCTGTTCTTACTGTCCCTGTTAATGAAAGTGAAATGAGATCAAAATATTTATTTAAACGTAGAAGGGACGCAGATTATATATGATATGCTCTGGTCAAACAAGGGTTAAGTTTTCTCAGAGGATTGATGAGCTCTGATGAGAGCCTATTGTTTTACTCCACTCTTCGCATGTCACCCAATCGGTGAAGCTCTAGGCAGCTCTTATCCCTCCTTAGTACCAGCTCCCAAGTTTTCAGTCTCTTGCTTCTACAGCCGAACAGAGCAGACGGACTAAAACTTTTGTTATCGGTAAGCTGGAGAAATTAACCTCTAACGAGTTAAAAAAA